TAAAGAACTGAACATATAAGAATACATGCCTTTTCCCAGTTGATAAATGGTCAAAGGATATGAATAGGTAGTTTTCAGATGAAGAAATCAAAGTTATCTATAGACATAGGAAGAAGTGCTCTAAATCACTTTTGATTAGAGTAATGCAAATTAAAACAAATCTGAAGTACTACCTCACAGCTATCTGATTGGCTAACATAACAAGAAAAGGAAAATGATAAATATTGGAGAAGATGTGGGAAAATTGGAACACTAATGCATTGTTGGTGGAGTTGTGAACTGATCCAGCCATTCTGCAGAGCAACTTGCAACTATGCCTAAGGGGCTATAAACTTGTGCATACCCTTTAAAGACCCAGCAATAGCACTTCTAGGGCTGTATCCCAAAGAGATCATAAAAACAGGAAAAAGACCCACATGTACAAAAATATTTATAGCAGCTCTGTTTTGTGGTGGCAAAGAATTGGAAATTGAGGGGATTCCCATCAGTTGCAGAATGGCTGAACAAGTTGTGGTGTATGAATGTAATGGAATATTACTGTGCTATAAGAAATGATGAGCAGGCAGACTTCAGAAAAACCTGGAAAGACTTAAATGAACTGATGCTGAGTAAAGTGAGCAGAACCAGGAAAACATTGTATACAGTAATAGCCACATTATGCAATGACTGACTTTGATAGACTTAGCCCTTCTTAGCAATGAGAGGATCTAAGACAACTCCAAAAGACTCATGATGGAAAAAGCTATCCACATCCAGAAAAAGAACCATGGGGTCTGAACACAGATGGGAGCATACTATTTGCTCTCCTTTTCTTTTGTTATTTTCTTTTGATTCTTCTTTTTCATGGTTCCTCCCATTAGTTATGAGTCTTCTATACATCATGACTAATGTGAAAACATGTTTAATATGAATGTATAAGTAGAGTCTATATCATATTGCATGCCATCTAAGGTGGGGAAAAAATTTAAAACTCAAAATCTTATGGAAGTGAATGCTGAAAACTAAAAATAAATAAATTATTTAAAATAAAAAAATCATAATAATATTAAGATGTTTTGATTTCTAATATGATAAATATTAATAGTTGTAAGCCACATAGATGGAGGTTCTCCATAAATTTTAAGTGTATAAAAGGGTCTCAAAACCAAAATAGTTGAGAACTGTTCTCACAGAGAGTATGGTTTCAGGTCTCTTGAACACTTTGTAGCCCTCTTATGGATGTGCTTTTGCTTGTCTATGTCTTCCTTAGATCTGGAGCACTGAACTGAGTGTAATAATAATAATGATAATAGCTAACACTTAAATGGTACTTTAAGGTTTGTACAAGGAGATATATTATCTCCTTTTATCCTCATAACAACTGAGTGAAGTCAGTGTTTTTGTCATCCTTATTTTACATATTATAAAACTGAGGCTAAGAGAGGTTAAGTAATTGCCCAGGGTCACACAGCTAACTGTCTGAGGCAGCATGTGAACTAGGTCTTCCTGGCTCTAAGTTGATCACTCTATCCACTATTCAATCTAGCCATGCCACAATACTCAAAATGTGATCTTAAGGCAGAGGACATTAGTGCTTATAACTTCCTTCATTCTGGACATTATGCTTCTGTTAAAGTAACCTAAAATCACACGAATATTTATTGCTGCCACAAAACACTATTGACTTATATTATCTTTAAATCCACTTGAATTCCTAGATCCTTTTTAAACAGACCTTGTGGCAGTTAGGTGGACCTGAACTAAGGACAATCTGAGTTCAAATCCAACCTTAGACACTAACTTCCTGTGTAACCCTGGGAAAATAATTTCACATTAGTTTGCCTCAGTTTTCTCATCTGTAAAAAAACGTAATAATAGCACCTAACTCCTAGGTTTTTTTGGGGGGGGGATAAAATGAAATAGTATTTGTAAAGCATTTTAAAAAATTAAAATACTACATAAATTTATTATTATTATTTATTAAATGAAATATTATTTAGCAACATTTCTTCTATCCTGTACTTGTGTAGATGAATTTTTTTAACTCAATTTTAAGACTTTGTATTACCCATTGTTAATCTTAATCTTGACAAAACAATCTCATTTATCTAGCCTTTGGAAATCTTTTTGAATCCCGATTCTCTCATTCAATGTATTGGTTATCCTGTCCAAATGCATTTCCCCTTGCTGATCTGACAAGCATGCCATTATATTACCACTCCAGTACATGTTGAATGGAACAGGGCTGTGGTCATCCATTGGTATCCCAAGAGTATTTGCCTACAGATTTCTGTCCAGAATGGCCCTGACCCATTAAGACCATGAATCTACCTCATTCCAGGATCATCTCCTATATCTTTTCCATAAATGTAGCTTTGTCAAAAATATTGCTGAAATTCAAGTATCCTATGCCTACAATATTCCCCTCAATCACAAGTATAGTAAGCACAGCAAGATATCTTTAAGGTCCCTTCTAACTCTAATTCCTATGGCCTGGATGATCAATTTGGATTTAACAATAGAGGGAAAATATTTTCCATGTATCTACCTTAAATAAATAGTGCTATTCTCTTCTTCTAAGTGTTCACTACATAAATTGTTAAGATAAAGGAAGATATTTCATTTCAGCACAGGTTTTTATATCAGTTATTTGTTTTCATGGTCTTGATCAAATAGGCACAGAAATTATCTCATTAAGCTTCATTACTTAACCATTATGTCATAAATTAATTTCTCTTATGGATTAAGATTTTAAGATACATAGAAATTAATTTAAGGTTCTTAGGGCTACAGAATTTGACCTTGTCATTCATTTACAAAAAAGAACTAGTCTAAGAGGAGAAAGTTTATTGCTTTCCTAGGAAGTAGTTTGCAGATTTATCTGACATTCTGAAGATGGAGAACAACAAATATTTCTGTGAAAAGTAAAGAGATTTTCACTTAACATATGCATAGTAATACAAGGTAAAATTTAAGGCCTAAAATCTGACTTAAAATTTCTGTTTAATATCTTCATATCTTCAATTAGCATTAAGATCAATAGTTTTTTTTTTTCCTCAGTGAGAGTTAAACTTAGAAAAGCAATCCATATGATGCCTCTCCAGCAAAAATCAGGAAGTTGACTGTGGTTTTTAAATCTTTCTTGAGCTAGAGTCTGCCATGCTTCCAATGACACATAAGAAAAATGACTTTTATATAAGAGAGCCATGTATTTTAAAATATTGAAATGTACATTAAATAAAGATTTCTACAATGCAACTTGATTTCTCCCCCCATTACTTGTATCCTATTATGATCCCAAAGTGGTTTTAACATGTTTGTGGCCTTTTTGGTATTGCAAGATATTTATATTCTGGGGGTGTGAAATTATTTCCCTCAAGAGTTTTTGATGATGTACCTAAAACAATGTTGTAATATTAAATTTCATTCTAACATATTCATCATATACACAATTTATTTCTGTATTGTGAATGTCCTTCAACTGTGAAAGACAAATGATTTTTATTTACTTGAGCCCTTCCTCAGATTATATTGAGGAAATGGAGAAAAAAAACCATTGTCATTTTCTAACTCTTGATTTTTATTAAGATTTGTAGTTATTTGATTTACTGAAGGAAAACCGACCCTCCATTATAGTCTACTATTATGGTGTGGAGGTACGGTGGTGCAAGCTGAAAAGGCTTTGAATATAGTGTATATTCAATGATGGACTGTGAGCTGTCTGAGAACCAGCCCAAGTAAATTTGGAGAACTTATCATCAAGTATTGAATAATTTTGGCTATAACAGCTTATGAAATTTCTGCCAAGGAATGAAAGGACTATAATCTGCATAGGTGAAGGGTTTTTTCTTGTTCAGTTACTCAGTTGTATATGACTTTTCATGATCCCATGGACCATAGCATGCCAGACCTTTCTATTCTACATTACCTCCCAAAGTCTGTCCAAATTCATGTTCATTGTTTCTATAACACTATCTCCATCTCATCCTCTGCCATCCCCTTTTCCTTTGGTACCCATATCATTTAAGTAACAAGGTTTTTTGAAATATTGAGGTTTGTAGTGAAAGCAACTAATTTATGGAATCATGATAAATGAAATGCATGCTATCCCCAAATGTATTATATCTTCTTCTGAATATTAATTCCCAAGGCTAAAAGTTCATTTAAGTCTTGTTATATGCCCTAATATCCCAATATAGTAAGGATGTATGATTCTGTTGATATAGGAACTTTTTCCAGGGATATAGATTGCAACTTGTCTATAATTGCTAGTCACAACCTAAAGATCAGAGAGGTCAGGCGACTTTTCCTGGTGACCCAGTTAGTGTCAAAGATGGTATTTGAATTTCAGGTCTTTTTTGACTTCAAGTCCAGAGTATTATGCCATCTTATTCCTTATATTCTTTGAAAAAGAAATGAAATTATATTAAACTGTTCAGGCTCTGTTTAAGTTTTTTATATAAAATGCAAAATGTGTGAAAATCAAATATTTTGTGAAATGAACAATTATGAGCATAGTCGTTGAAGCACAAACTGTCAGTTTAAAACAGACACAGATAGACAAAGCGAAACTTTGAAGGACCTTGAATTAGCTTTCTTCTTCAAGGTTATCAGAACCCTGCTCATAGAGAGCCCCTTACCACCTGGTAATTCCATACGCAGAGATACCTGGCTTTTGAATTTTATCTAAGAACACACCATAATATGTGGTCAAGTCAATTCCAAGCACTCCTTTTTCAATCACATCTGCTTTCTGGAGTCTGCATTCCAGAATAAATACTTTTGCTAGACTTCTAGCTTATGTGCTCTTCCTTCTTTTCTTCCTTTCTTTTTTTTTTTCTTTTAGAAGGGGGGGAAGGTTATTTGACCTCTGCTGAATTTCAGAAAACTCATTAAAAACTAGGAAAAAACAAAGATAAGAACAATACAAAGCCATTAATGGCTACCAAATCATTTTCAGAGCATCTGTGAACATGTACATAGTCTCAAAGGTATGCTTATTTTTAGGATAATATTCTTACCTGAGGTCTTGAAATGGGTCTGCTCTGACAAGTGGTGTTTCTACTGAGTGCTCAAAAAGAGCTCCTTCAGGCCCTAAATGAAAGCAAGAACTTTTGTTAAAATGATGTAATAAATACTGCTATAAAATAAATGTCATATTTTAACGCATGCCACCATGGTCTTCAAAGAATAATAATTGTGAATTATCCAAATGGCAATATATGGAGAAGAAATTTATTTATATAAATGGAGTTCATGATAGTAGTTCTGGATCACATCACTGACACTAGGGATTAATGAAGAGTTATCTTTAATTAGCCCAGAGTTATTGACCAATGTAGTACAAAAAGTGGCAAAAAACTATGCAACACATTAAATGTAGTTTGCTTAAATTTTGAACCTACCAAACACCAGATTTGTGGCTAGAATTTATATATCATAAACTAACAGATGAGAGCCCCCATTAATACGACCTCAAAACATCTTTGATAATCAAACAAACTCTAGTAGAATTGGAGCATCATCCCAGACAAAACTGTTTCCTGCAATCAATCATCCAGGCATACTACCTCTCCATAAAAATGAAAGACTATTTTTAATAGATGTAATTATACTAAATACTCCTAATCACAGTTTGATGTGGAATGGAAGGATTTCAAAATAGAGAGCCCTAGAAGGAGAAATAAAAACCATTTGGCAATAGGATGAGGTATATGTCATCTCCATGATTATATCTACTACAATACCCTGAGAATATTTCCAGTGAGTCTCCAGAAGATAAATTTATATCCCAATACTATTACAAAAGCAGTCATTTTATCTACCTGGGTGACACTCCATAGAATATAAATAATAAAATATTGATAGCAAGATAATGACTTATTCTATAGGAAGTCTTAAAAAAGTTGAAAAGAGTAATATTTTTAATAAGTGATTATAATAATAACAATAATGATATCACTGATCTCCAAACTATAAGCAATGAAAAGCTCTCAATAACAGAAAAAAATTAAAGCCATGTGGGAACAGGTTGAGGTATACATCATCTCTCCCAATAGAATGTACATTCCTTCAAGGCAGGAGCTATGTTTTTTTTTTTTTTTCCTGGCCTTTCTATGTATCCCTATTACTTAGTACAGTGTCTAGTACTTAATAAATACTTTTAAACTGACTGACTATTGGGGTTGTATTGAAGATACTTTCAATTAACCTCTAGAAGATTGCAAAAAAGCAACCAGCTTATTCAATTGCACAATTATTTGTCCAGCATTGAACAGTAAAGGGCATTAGAAGTATAACAATTAGTCCCAGGACTGTTTCTATCTGGACTCCACTGAATAGAGGATGAGAAGAATGAGAAAAGTAATAATAATAATAATAATGATAGCAGCTTATAATTCCATGTGCTTTAAGGTTTTCAAAGTACTTTAAATACATCATTTCATTTGATCATGGATATAGGTGTGCTATAACACTTTGCCAACAATGACCCTTGCAGAAAAGGTGGTATAAAAGCCATCATCCAGGAAGTGTATGATTGGAAGAGTAGGTGAGATAGTCAGTTAGCAAAGGTTAAGATGGAAAGACAAAGGTTACACTGGTATTCACAACAATAGTCTTCCAGAATGTTTTTTTTTTTTAGATCTTCTATATAGGATTCGTAAAATTATTTGGACAGGATTTGGACAAAATTCGCATGAGATGACAAGACAGAAATGAACAATGATGTGATATATAAAGCCAAATAGAGTCTTCACAGTGATGAGATCAAGGATCCATCTGAGATGAAATATTTTAATTGATTTATCAAAACACATGAATATTTTATCATTATTGAAGGCTGGGGTCAAATGAGATTAGTTCCAAATAGCTTTCCTTTTCTTCCATTACACAAAATCTTCTACATTTAAAAAAAAAAACCCAAAACGAACCCTTCTTTATGTTCTATGGTTCTATTTACTTCCCTCTCAAGATATGCGTTTGGATCTCTCACCTTTGCTTATTTGACCTTCATGGTTTTATCCATTTGTCAGATAACCTTTTATTTAAAGAAGTTGGCAAAAATGCTTATATTCCAACATCCCCTACTTAGTCCAATACTCACACTTCCCATAAAACAAATTAGCTGTGAGAGCCAGAAGAAAAAGAGAGAGGGGGATCTGAAGAATAGAAAGGAAGAAAAAAAGATAGGAATATTATTGAAAATAATTGTAGTCCCTCTCCCTATCACTGCTTCTATTCCTATTTTCTTCCTACCAGAGCATGTCTCCTGGAGCTGTAAATTTATTTGCAACCAAGGATATTAAAGGTTTGCAATGCCCCTTAATGGTGGAAAGTGCAATATTAAGTCTCCAAAGAAAAACCCAAGTAAATCCTATTGAAACTGAAGAAAAAAGTAGGGAGAAAGGGCATGCCCATATACTACATAAAGGAACTGAAAATATAGCTCCAAACATCGATAATCCTTCAGACAGCACTTTGGATATTTACTGGATCTGATTTGTAAAATTGTATATTTTCCTATTTTGGTTCCAAAGCAATGATGAACTGAATATTTGTTTAAAAACATAAAAGTCTTTTAAATTATTAAGTCTATGAAACTATATGCATAGAGTCTAAAATATTTAGTTATTTGTAATCAGGTGTGTGTGTGTGTGTGTGTGTGTGCGTCTGTGACTCTGAGTTTTCTCCCAGGGGCATGGAGAATTCTCATGGGAAAACCTCTACCAATGAAGAACAGCAACTTCAATTTATGATGTCAGAGAGATGCCTTGGACACTGAAAGGTGAAGTGACTTTTCTAGGGTCCCTGGCCAGCATGTGATAGAGGTAGAATTTGAACCCAGGTATTCCTCATTCTCTGCCTCCCAGGCCAGCTCTTTTTCTCTTACCCATTCTACCTCTATATATTCTGTTACTTAATCATAACAGTTTGCTTATTATAAAGCATAAACACAACTCCATTATCCATTACATTATATTAAAATGGTTTTTGAATCCACTGATTGTTCAATCAAAAAGTATTTATTAAGTGCCTGCTGTGTTCCAGGTAATATACATTGGACATTGGGGTCATAAGGACCAAAACTAACCAGTCTTGGCTTTCAAGGAGCTTATGTTCTGTTGCGGGCAGATAACATCTATGTAAGTATACATAGAAAAAAGACAAATTAAGCATAAGGTAGTATATGGAGGGGGGCACTAGCAGTTGGAGGATCCATAAAAGCTTTATATAATAATGATAATAATAATAATAATAATAATAATAATTCACTGGTATATAGCACCTTAAGGTTTGCAACGTGTTTTACAAATGTTAACTCATTAGATCCTCATACATCTCTGGGAAGCAGTTGCTATTATTATCCCCATTTTATAGATGAGGAAAATGGCAGAGTTTAAATGATTTCCCCAGGGTCACACAGATAAGGAACATTTCAGAGGCTGGATATGAACTCATGTCTTCCTGACTATGAGTCCTGTGCTCTATCCACTGCAGTGTTCAATTGAGTTTTGAAGGATGTAAAGGATTCTAAAAGAATATGAAGAGGAAGCATATTACTATCTGGCCAGTTCAAAAACATGTAAACCTGAAATGAAAGTTTACTGTGTGAGGAATAGTAAGCAGTTTTTTTGGCTTGATTGAAGAGCATGGGAAGGGCAGTCATGTATAATCAGGATGGAAAGGTAGGTTGGGGTCAGGTTATGAAAGGCTTTCAAAGCCAAACAGATGCACTTATATTTTGTTCTATAAACAATAAGGAGTTATTGGAATTTATTGAGTAGGGGAGTGGCACGGTTGGATCTTTACACAAGGAAAATTCTTTTAGCAGCAGTGCATAGATTTGAGTGGGAAGAAATTTAAGGTAAGCAAACCAATTAGGAGGCCATTACAATAGTCTAGGAAAGCAGTAATAAGGTTTTGCACTAAGGTGCTGGTTGTGTGAGTAAAGAGAAGAGGTTCGATGTGAGAGATATTCTGTAGATATTTGTAGGGCAAGATTTAGCAAATGATTTGTATGCAGTGTGAGGGAGGATGAGGAGTCAAGAATAATATCCAGGTTGTGAACTTATGAGGATGGTGGTACCTTCATCAGAAATACAGAATTTGGAAGAAGGCTGAGTTTTAGGGAAGAGATAATAAGTTCTGTTTTGAACTTGATGAGTTTGAGATGTCTTTGAGGCATCTGGTTTGATGATGTGGTGGACAAAGTTGGTGATGGGGGACATATTTGGCCATAAAACACTTTTGGATGTCTTTTCTGTTTCAGATTGTAACCCATCCTGTGTAATTCTCATTCAAGTACTTTCAATATGTCACATTTATTGAGTCTATATAGCACTGTTAGAGGCCCAGAGTGTGTGACAGAGTTAGGATGAGTCCTTAAATTACAAAACTATATACCCTAAATATGACATCTACCACAAAGTAGGATTATCTATCATGCATTTTTGCATAACTTATTGCATTTATATAAAAACATAACATGGTGACTGAGATAAAAATAATAAACTCATTTGGTCCTTTCCACCTTGTATCTGGAATAAACTACATCGGTAAGCCCAGTCAAAGGGGCAATGTATTCCAATTGCTCAAGTAGATTACAATTTTTATTGGAGCACCAGCTGTTCAGTTTCTTTTTTTCCATGATACCTTAGATCATTGTAAAAGTGCTACCTACAGTATTTTACAGAGAAAAAGGTTTCATACTGATTTTCTAAATACTTGCCAATTACTTTCCATCTAATTATATCATAGCGTATATCATAGAACCATTTGATTATTTTAATGTTATACTTGCAAGTAGAAAGTCTTAAGAATGAAGATGTATTGTTACATAAATCCTGCAATTGTGTCTGGTCACAAAAGCTCTAAATATGCAAGTTGTCCAAGCCTGTATGTGTAATTGCCATTCACACTTAAAGTAAAAATTGCTCAAAGACTGTTGGTGCATCATAGCTGAACATGACTAAAATGCTTTTGTATTTCATAATTTCATGATAATTATTATTAGTACCCAAGGTAGTTCAATTTTTGTAAGGTAGTTGTAATTTTTGAGCATCATGCTCAAATATTTCTCATCCAAGATCCTG